CACACACACACACACACACACACACACACACACACACTCACACACCGGCGGACACACCCGAACCCAGCACAGCCAGAGAGCCACACAACCAGTTACACAACCACACACCAACACGGGGCAGCCACACCATCATTGACCCACAGCCACCCTCGCAGCACTGTGACCTGGCTCCTGAGGCCCCTGGGGGTCCCCTCTCCAGGTTCCCCTCCCCCAACCCCATCCAAAGCCCGAGACCGCCGCCTCCCCACCCCCTAGCTACCCTCCCCCAAAAATGGACCCGCAGGGAACGTATCGGAAGGACCCACGTCCCCGGTCTGGACCTGCGTGTCCGGGCTGGGCAGCCTCGAGGCTGGAAAGAAGAGGCGCCCACGCTCCTCCCTCACCCTGTCTAGGCCGTCGCCGCCTGAGCCCCCTCTCCGTCTAGACGGTGCCGGCGCTGCAGGACAGTCAGACAGACCGCTGGTCAGGCAGGCGGACACGGAGATGGAGAAGTCTGGACCGCCGGGCTTGCAGCTCCGCGCAGACTCCGTGGCCGAGGCAGGGGCGGGGCCAAGGAGCCTTATTTGCATAATCCAGTGGGGTGGGGAAACGGGACATCATTTGCATAACCCATGGGGGCGGGCCCACGGCGTCGTGTTTGCCAGGTGGGCGGGGACATTGGCAACCTCATTTGCATGGCACTGTGGGCGGGGAGTTGTTAGCGTATTGGGGCGGGGCTATAGAACGCTCATTTGCATACCTCAATGAAGCAGGCGGGATGTGTTGGCAGAGATTGGAAGGGAAAAGAATGGAGAGAGAGATGGGTGGGGTAGCCTGAGGGAAGAGAAGAGTTCAGCCCCTTCAAAGGACACGCTATGCCACGCCTCTCCTCATTTGGGCATCGAAAGCCAGAATATCTGGATAACCAGGTCCATTTTTGTGTTTGTGACCGACTCATGCAGCCCTAGATGGTCTCCAGTTCTCTTTGTAGTTAAGGCTGGCCTTGAGCTTTGGATCCTCCTGCCTCCATTTCCTTGAGTGCCATAATTCAGGCCTGTTCCACTACATCTGGTTTGTATGGTGTTGGGGCTGGAACCCCAGGTTTCCTGTATGCTAAGCAAGCACTGTCCTGATTTTGTTTTTTTACATTTTTTTAAATTACATTTATTTATTGGGGTGTGTGCCACATTTTGTGTGTATTTAGAGGTTGGATGACAACTTGCAAGAATTAGTTCTTTCCTACCATTGGGAGGGTCCCTGAGATCAAACTCAGGTCTTCAGACTTGGTGGCAAGTACCTTACCCATTAAGCCATTTGGTTGGCCCACTTCTGTTTTTGAGACACAGTCTCCTCTAGCCCAGGCTGGTCTCATACTTTCTGTGTTAACTTTGAACTGATGTGCCTACTTCCATCTACCTCCCAGGTGCTGGATTGTATGCCCAACTGATACACACTATTTTCTCACTGTCCTAACTAGACCCACACATCCTTAAAAGTGTCCTGGTCTCTGCATCCTCTGAAACACCAAGGACTTGGCTGGGGGTGGCATGGGGAGGGACCCAGACTCTTGAACCAGCAGATGAAAAAGTCCAGGGTGGAGGAGGGTCTCGGCTAGTTTATTTTCTCTCTGAAGGGGTCTTCAGGGCAAGCAGTCCCAGCTGCTCAAGCTATGGGGAGAGAAGGTAGGTCATGGTCTAGCTTTAACTCCAGAACTCAGGGTTCCCAGCCAAGGAGCAGATGCCCAGACAGAGTGCCAGCCTCAAGGCCTAAACTGTGGGAATCACAAGGGGGCCAGATGGTAAGGGATGGTAAGAGGCTGAGGAGGGTCTGTACCAGGAGGATAGGATCCACTCTTGCTGAAAGGTCTCTCCCAGTCAGAATCGGAGTCCCAGGAGGGATACTGAGAACTCAGGCACCGGTGTTCCTTGGAGCCTGTGGGAGAGACATTCCATTCTGGCCCTTTAGACCCTGAACATGACCCTCTAACAACTTCAGAATATGGACTCTGCATCCCTCGAAATGAAACCACACTGATCCATGATCTAGACACCCACATTCCTTGTGTGACTTAAAGTAATACTAAATTATATCAATGACCCTTTAAATGTTCCCTTTAAAAGATCCCATAAGGGGCACCAGAGAGGCAGCTCAGTGGTAAAAAGTACTATTAGCTGCTCTTTCAGAGGACACAGGTTCAATTCCCAGCACCCACATGTTGGCTCATAACCCTCTGTAACTACAGTTCCAGAGGACCTGACACCTTCTTCTGGCCTCTGAGGGCACCAGGTACACAGTTGGTACACATATATATGCAAAATGCCCACATACATACAATACAATAAAATACATCTAAAAAAATTCCCACAGAGCCAGGAATGGTGGCATATATCTGTAACCCCTGGGGAGCTGGAAGCAGGAAGATCAGAAGTTCATCCTTGGCTACATAGTGAGTTTAATTAAGTTAGTCTGAGCTATGTAAGACCATATCTCAAAAAAACAAAGAGACTAAAAATCTCACAGATCCTAAATATGACCCCAATCAGCTCCTGCATGAAACATCCAGGGTCTATGTAGCCCAGGCTGGCCTTGAACTTGAGGGTCTCTTTCACTTACCACCCCTCCCAATTTCTGGGATTATAGGCCTTCAAAATCTCAACCAGTCCCTCAGCTACCCAATGTAGCCTTAGAACAGGACCCCACCCGATGTGACCCTCAGAAGACCCCTGAAGGTGGCCTCGTATACGTGAACCTGGGAATGACCTCCCCCCGACACCCCCATTACTAACTCAGGCCCTCACCCCTGAGACTGGAGGCTCTGGGCTTGGTGCCCACGGACAAGGCAAGACAATCGATGGAGCTCTGCAGACTGTGGACAGCAGACCTGTGGGGGGACAGAGAGACGGGGCCCCAAGAGACACTGGGGTATCCAAGACACCCCAGAATCAGAGCTAGGGCAAGGGAAGCTGTGGAAAGGGTGATTCCTAGGATAAGTAGGAAGGACTAGAACCATTTGTGTTCCAGATGCTGTGTGGGGGGGGGCGGTGCAAGTTAGAGGAGGGCTAGGGGTCAGAGGTCAGACTGGAGGCTGGCCTCACCATATGTCACTCAGCTCCTTCTGTAAATCATCCTTCCAGCAGCCACTGCTTTCCAAAGGGCCCTCCTCAGCCTCTGGCCATGAAGATGGCTCATATGCCTGCTGCTTCATCTTGGTCAGAACCTGAGGTTCGGGAGGGGGTTGTGAGGACAAGCAATCAGACACACAAGTAGTGACGACCATAGAGAGAGGTACTCGTGGGGTGGCGGCTTTATTCCCGGCTGTATTGAGAGCATGGAACCCTCAACGAACACCACTTCCTGATCGGGGAGGGAGCGCGGCTATTACACCCATTATATGGAGAGGCAAACGGAGGCCCAGAAAGACAAAATGATTTGCCCATAATAACATAGCATTAAATGGCAGAGCTGGGGTTTGGTTTCTGCCTCTGAGACTCAGCATGAGCTCCCACCTGCCCCGCGTCCTCATTTTCTCCGCTCACCTTCCGGCACTTCACCTGGGTTTTCTGCACCTTCTGGATATTCAAGAGGTTCTCTGAGATCTCATCCTCCTGGGCTTCTGTTGGGGAGAGAGCTCAGTGGACAGAGGAAGCCGAGGAGCCCCACCGCTTCCAGGCCACAGCCTCCAGGCACTCACGGAGCTTCTGATAGATGAAAGTCACTTCTTCCCGCACCAGCTCCAGCTCCTCCCACAGGAATTTCTTGCTGAGGGGAGAGATGAGCCTAGACCCACATTCCTAGCCCCTTCCCCAGGCCTCCAAGGCCTCCCACGTCCCCATCTGCCCAGCCCACTTCCAGCCACAGGCTCCTCCCACCGCCCTGGCTCCTTCCCGGGCATCAGGCTCCACCCACACCATCCAAGACCTCAGAATCGGTTCCGCAGCGCCAGGCTCCACCCACCCAGCCCTAGACCCCGCCCACAGCCCCGCCTTCTTTCACCGCCCTGGGGCCCGAGCCCTCACCTCCCAATCCACTTTCTCCTTCCTATCTGGATCTCCCCAGTCCTGTTCTCTCCTCCTGATTTCCACTCTCCACCCAGTCTTCTGAGGCCCTGTCTCCCTCCCCAACCCACCTCCAGCACCTTCCAGCTCCGTTAGGCTCCTCAACACCTCTCCCTAACCACCTCTCAGCGACCGGTCCTGCCCCCC